AATGGGTATGGTGCTCACAGTCTGGGGGATGGACATGCTTGAAACTCTGATTTGGGTGGGGCAAAGGCAGTATATGTAACCTAAACATTTGTACACCTGTAATATGCTGAAATAAAAAAAAAACAAATTTGAAACTGTGAATTGTGAATAAAAACTAAGTATTAGGATGCACAAAATCTAAAAAAAAAAAAAACAAAAAAAAAAAACAAAGCCTATTTCTCAACATCTTGACCCCAAGACTATTCTCCTTTATATAATCTGCCTTCACTTCAGGCTTAGATTCAAGTAACAAAAGTTCTGAATACCTTGAAAAAATTGCTAGTCTTTTCGATAAAGAGACTTGACATTCTACTTTTCTACTTAATATAATGTTTTCCCGGACTTCAAGTGAGTGCTCATTTATAAATAATTTTAGCAAGTTGACTATAGCTGTCAGATTTTCTTAAGTATCACAAAGATTAAAAAGAACCATTCGGCAAAGCCTGACAAGGAAAAAGAAGAATTGTGGACTTTATCTAGCTCCCTCCCAGGTACTACTTAATATGTTCTGACGTGTTTCAAATTATAGGTCACAATCTATTTATATCTGGAAAGTTCATCTCCAGCCAGCGTGGCGGAAATGAAACTGAAGCATTTTTGTCTTTTCTGTGAATATAAGTAAGCTAACACAAGCCTTCTAACATTAGCCTAGAGAGCCATAAGACTGAATACTTTAGTATTGCTCTCACCATATGGTCCGAACGACACAGTAACTGTGACTCATGAAGCCAGCAGCAGAATTAGGGAAAATCTTACTTTCATTCTCTCATAGGTATGTTGTGAGGATTCGAGGACAGAGAACAGTGTCTGGCACTCAATAAGCAGTCAATATACATTAATTGTTGTGATCCTGATGATAATTATTATTGTAGTTATTTTAATTTTTGAAAATAACAGTAATATATATTGGGACTAATATAATTATGGGACTCTGGGAAAATACAGAAGTATAAGGAAGAATCTACTTCCTTATATAGACATTTTATGTATGCATTCTTTCTCTATTGGGCTCATACAATACAGTAGTTTTATAACTTGTTTTTTTATTTTTAAAATACAATGTGAACATTTTCTATATTATTAAATATTCTATCCTTGTGGCTTTTCATGTTTTTAGATATGCTCTATTTTATGTATTTGCTATTTGAATTCAGATTTTTATCTCTAAGTTTATAACATTCTACATAACATAATTGGACATTGTAACTTCTAAATTTTGTGTTTTATATTATCACATAATCTTTGGGATATGTTTTTAAAAGTGCCATTATTTAGGCAAACGGTCTTCACACTTTTTTATACTCTTTCTGAGTATTTCAAAATTACTTGCTGCAAGATTTGAACCATTAACATTTTCTTCTGGTAGTGATTTGAAAATGCTGGTCTCATCCATGTCAGATAGGGCTTCTTTTCTACTTGCTGCTCTCCATATGTGTCAGAATTGTCTTTTACCATTTTCTCATTATACTATCTGTACTTTTTGTACTTGATTTGTTAAACTTACATATTGCTATGTCACATATTTCTCAAATTATATGCTCTATTTTGTGCTTTTAATGTTTAACATTGTTAGTTATTCTTTTGTATTTTTAAAAAGCAAGTAGAGCCAAGTATCAGCTTTTAGCACTTCTTAAGTATAATCACTACCTATGTTAAAGGAGCTAGGACAACAACCTTAATTTAAATTAAACAAACACCCTCATTTAAACAAAAAGTGAAAGAAAGGCAAAAAGGGGCAGTTTAAATGTATGTTCTCCCTTTATCAAGATGTTAATTAGGTGATTGTGTACTTTACATCCTAAATACATATGTGACTTGAGAACCCTCGGTACATATATTTCATAATCAGTTTCATGATGTTCCAAAGTATCTAAAAGTTTCTGGCTTAACTTGCCTTTAAGCAATTCTACCATCTGATGTGGGGGTAGTTGCTGGGACAGAAAGCTCTTGAGTGAATGTATTTGCCTGCTATTATAAAGGCCCTTCCCATTGCAAAGAGAAGATTCTGATTTTTTTTTTTTTTTCTTTCCTCAACAGTGGCTTCTTTCATCCTCCTGCTTTATTTCTGGGAACAAAATCTCCCCTGCCAAAGTCCACAGATGTGGTGGCAGAGAGAGCTACAATGAGAGCTTTCACTTTCTTCCTGTTGTATTCACTTAAAATATTCAAGACAAATGTATTGCCTACTATACACTGTCGCCTCTTAACATAGCCAGTTCTACTTTTACATATTTACAAAATTCCCAAAGTAAGATATGCTTCCCCTCTGCATAACTCCAAACTTTGAGAAGAAAGTATTTGAGAATATTGTCCCAAATTTACAAACACTCTTGCTCCATTCCACTAAATCAATTCTGTAGGAAACCCTAATTCATTTTGATATAAACTTTACAGGTCCACATAACAGACCTATAAGAGTAAGGAAAATGCCAAACATCATGAACATACTTTACAGAATAAATATTCATAAAGGTAAAGATTAATTGCAGATATAGCTGTTAATTGAATAAATGTCTTAATGTTATCCATCATGTATAAAATCTTTCATGAATTTCATAAACGTTCCTTTATTTTCAGTAATCAAATAACTGACTAATAGTAAGTATGCTTTACTGTGACTTCCATTATTTTATTCAAAGCAAATTTTATCTTAAATATATCCTCCTATGAATAGGTCATAAAAATGAAGTACACGGATCTGTGTTGATATAATCAACGTCAAAATGTTTCATTTTGTAGTAACTTTCTATGAGCTATATGAATATAGCTCATATGTTTTATTTTTAGTGTTAATTATTACCAAAAAAACCTTAAGGAATGATAAAACTCATTCCTATATGGAAAATTTTAATTATGCCTCACAGATGTGTACCTTTAATTAACTGGTGACATTTCTTTTGTTCAATTATTATTGTTCTATACAACTGTCATAAACTTATAAATTTTAATTAAGTCTGCCCCAAAACCTAGTTATATAGTGTACACATAGGAATTTGCCAAAAGGCTTAACTGTAAGTAAACCAACAATGAATAAATCCATGAATTGCCCACTGGGATTTGTTTAACAAATTAACATTTGTGTGGAGATAATGAGGTTCTACAGTCTATAGTACCAAACAATGTTTTTATAAAACCACATTTTAAAAGTAAAAAATGCTTTGTAAATGACTTAATTGGATATCATATTATTATTAATTATTAATTATTAGATGCTATAAAACAATAAACTATATGGCCATATCTCAAGTTGAATACATATGAGAGCTCATTTGTAGTACTAATTTGAAATATTTTTCCTGAACATATTATTTATATAAAGCAAGATCTAATAATTTGGGTACATAGATAAAGTGGAAATATACATTTTAAGAATGCAGCAAAGTCTAGACAAAGGATTTGAATAAAACATTAAAAGTTGTGCTGTATTTTATACAATTCAGGATCCATTAAGAGGACAGCAAGTTCACTGTTTCATAAAGATTTGCCCCTGTGGATCTATCATATGTTCAATAGCCGTAGCTCAGAATTTCAAATGGTTTAGTTGTCCTAAATATTTCTAAATATAAATATAGCTATAGCACAATGAATTTAGAAAATTAAGGTACCAATTAAACAATAAAATCTCCAAACAACTCGTTTGGCATGAGAAAAACTTCTTCCCTAAAGGAGATGTTATCTGTGTTACTAAAATATAATCGCACATTCCTTGAACTTGGATTCTCATTTACATATTCAATAAGGAACTCAGTACTATGATTACTCCTATAGTGATAGAATATAGTTAACTGTAAGGACTAGCTTCTCTTAAGCAGAATAAAAACATGTGGTAAGCCTCCTAGTGCCTTTTATATTCCAATCAACCTCCTGAATATATTTTTCAGAATGCTATTAAGTAGTTAGAGTATCTTAATTAAAAATTAATCACAGTCAAAAATATTTATGGACATAAAACTATCAAAGTTTTACTATTAGAATGCAAATAAGAAACAGCTTGGTTTCTCTGAACTCCACTGAAAATTCTTCTTCATGTGACTCTTTAAGTTATCATTATGCTAAATACTTTAAAGAATAGCATAAGCAATAGAAGCAGTGAGAACTCCCAGTAAGTAAGATAGAAATTAACCGTGTAGGGGATGTGAAGACAGTATAGATTGATTTTCCATTTGACTAACTAAATTTCCATTTATGGTAGTAAAATTAAATGTGCATAGATTGCACTCTACCAGTTGCATAATGTCCCTTGCACTGAATATTGGAATTTGCAAATTAGATTTTTATTATGCATTGGGTTACCTATTTCTCATGGGAACATATTTTAAATTTAATAAAAGTCAGTAAGAAAATATGTTTCAATGTTCACTTTATAGAGAACACAACACTTTTTGAAAACATGGCTATTGAATAAATTAGTAACAATCTCAAGTATATTCTAAAATGGAATAACCTGACATTTTCAAAGCATCTTGTATGTTACAATGCAATGCCAATAGAGTAATTATAATTCTAGATGGGAATCAGAATGCTGTCAGATGTTCTGGTGTAGTTTACATTTAAAATGAACCTCATTTTCAATAACAATTGATTTTCAAGAATTAGGGAACCTATTTGTGCAATTAAAAAATATAGGCCTTGGAGTCAAACATGTAAGGCTTGGAAAACCCGTTCTACTAATCCTTCTGAGCCAGGGTCAGAATATCTATCAGCACTGAGCCTGTACATGGTACGTGCTCAACACTTGGTAATGACCATTACTCTTATTAAATTTCGTGGCTTGAACTTTGATGCACTGACTTTAGAATAAATGCCATCAATTATGTTGAATAGTTCAATTTAATTTGTGTTACTGTATTCTTTATTAAGATATCAGAAATTATATTTGTAACATTAAGGATTTTCATTATTTTTCACATATGAGGAAAAATGCAAATGATTTGAAGATACAATGATACTCTAATATTTACCTAGTGCTGAGGGTGTGCACGTTCCTCCATTTTGACAGTAGTTGCTACAGTGGTTGACTTCACATCTTTCTCCCGAATAACTAGGCCAACAGTGACACCTCAAATCACCTTTCTCATTTAAAATGCATCTTCCTCCATTTTCACAAGTCAGTTTACATGAATCATCTGGTTATGGGAAGAAATGTAAAATTAGCATGTTTTTCAGGGGATGATTTAATGAGAATAATTCCAATAAATAAAAATATTTAAATACTACGATCTTATTTTTGTCATAAAATAACTCCCACATACAAAAATAGAAGAAACTACTATCTGAAAAGAGAAATAGATTTCAATTGTTGAATGATGAACACAAATATTAACTTGTATGTTTCTTTAAACTTAAAGCATTATTAACCATTTCTTCTGTTTGTTAAATATTAAACAATATAACGAACTGAAACTTTCTAAAAGTAATATATTTTCCAAACAAGAAATTGTCTCTATGATGTGTACAAACATAGCCTATTTTTTAGGAGTAGTTGATATTAAATGTTAAATATGTAAGATAAATTTATAGCATACACACACACACACACACACACACACTATTGTGTCCTATAGTGTGTATGTATGCATGTATATATATGTTATTTATAATATAGAAAAACGTTTATTTGAAGACATACTCTTTGACATTAGTCATACATAAATGTCCCAAACTAAATGTCATTTAGATTTGATACAGATGGTTACAGAACCATGTCAGAAACATTTCCATATGTAATATTTGTTCTAAACAATTCTGCACAATCTATCTATTTAATGACATTTTGGCTGATAATAAAAATGGCTGGACATTCCTGGGGGCATCAAAATTATTTTTAACAATATGGTAAGTAAAATTTATAATAGAGATTGGTTTGAATCATTTTCCAGGTAATTTTGCTATGTATGTTGACGTGGCCTTGCTCCATTAGAAATACTGCTTTGATTTGAGCAGGACATAGTGTCCAATAGAATGAAAATGACTGAGAATATTGTAATAGGCATTCTATTCTAAAATATGCTCTCTACGAAAGCCAAGCCTATTTTATGGTGAAAGTAGGTAAAATCAAAAGAGCCTGTATTTCTTATTCGAGATGCACTGGCCCATACATGGGCCATACACGGAAGCTTGACTATATCACTGCCATGATCACAAGAGCATCTTAAAATACCTCAGTGACTTTAAATGACAAAATGATTCAAGTATCATATCCACTGTCATAAATAAGAACTGCCAGAAGTGTCATACAATTCTGACACTTGCCTTGTTGCATAGCAAAGTTTCCAGTATTTTGCCATGTAGGTAGGCTTCAGGTTGGCATTACTAAAGTTTGCATTTGTAATATGAAGAACTCTTTCATAGGGTAATATATGTCATATTTTTTAATTACAGTGGTGTAAAGAGATCTATGTTTAGGTCCTAGTTCTGCCACTTACTAGGCATACAAGTTAACCTATCTGAGCCTCAGTTACTTCATTTTAACGTGGCCTTAATGACAAATGTACAACTTCACTCAGATTTGTGGTAAATATTAAATAGAAAATTTGAAAAAAGGTAAAATTTTAAAACTTTGTAAATATTAAGTATGCAAGCATATATCATACATACATAGACACAAAAGAGAATTTAACTTCCAGCCCATATCTAGACTAGTAGAAAGATAACTAGAGCTGAGAGGTGGGTCTATAAGGTGAATCACTAAATTTCAAAAGGCAATTGAGATGCTCATTTGGCAAAAAACCAAGGAACAATCTTATTCAACATTATTTACTGAGTGCCCGCAAGGTTCACAGAGGGTAGAGCTCAAGTGGAATAACATCTACGAAGGCCAAAAGGTGAGCACTGAAGGAACAGAATGAAAGTCACTGTGACTGGACCGGGATTAGAGAGTGTGCAAGAAGGAATTACAAGATATAAACATCTTTGAAGAGATAAGAAGAGACTAAGAGAAGATCCTTGGATTTTAGAGTTTACCCCAAAAGTAACCTGGCGTCTTTGAAGAGTTTAAGAAGTCCAAGAATGAATGTATGGGCAGGGTTAAACTGAAAGCAGGGAGACTATTAGGCCTTTGTATAAATTTTCCAGGCTATGTAAAATGATAACCTAAAATACAATAATGTGGGTTGGATAAATGTGGATGTATTCTAAAGGTAACTGGAAAGTAAATATCACATTGGAGTTGCATAAGGAGAATGAGGGAAAATCATTGATGATTCTTCAGTTTCTGACCAGAACAACTAAGTGAGAACACGAGAGCAAGAGGAAATCAAAGGGTGGTGTAGCTTTGACATATTAAATTGGAGACGCCTATGCAAATGCAAGTGTGAATCTCCAGCAAATAATTGAATTTAGAGGTAAGACTCTCAAGAAATACGCTTACTTAATTTAAAATTTTCCGAAATACTTCTAATTCAGCACTATATGTCCTCATAAAGGCTGCAAATGTGAACAGTGACGATAAACACTTAAGGCATTATGATCATAGTTAGATTATTATGAGGGTACTCATTTTCACCTGTAGATGTTCAGCGAAAACCACAAAGATATTCAAAATCCCTATGTGTTGGGGCATGTGCATTTCTATAACGTGCGTCATTATAGGCATCAGAAATTTAAAAGTACAACACTGCCTGGTGAAATGGAAGTGGAGTTACATTCTTTCAAAACCTACAGTCATAGTTCTATAATGAAAAAGAAGGCTGCTTTTGTCAATAACTAAATCACCCCCAGAAGGCAAGCTCCAGCAATTATAATCAACTATAGGGAAGAGCAGGTGAATACTTCCCCAAGAATGAGTAATATTTGAATTTCAAATTTCTTACATGAAGATTAAAAATATTCAGTGTGCCCATCATTTAACAATAGCAGCTAGAGAAAGACAAGTAATTATAAAGAGCTGAAAAACTTGGCTGCATCAAATTTTAATGTCAGAAAAAATTAATTGGCATTTATCTACACCAATCAATAACTCTGAAATCCACTTATTTGTGTTCTAACTAAAGTGGTCCAAACTATCTATAACCAAGGCCTATCTATGTAGAGGTCAATCTGAATATTTTTAACTTTCTGATCTGATTAAATTTAAGATTTTTTTTTCTGAAATTACAAGAAGGAGCTTTGAAGAGTTTTCTGGATTCATGTCTTTAAAGCAGAGTTGAAATAGTAAAACAAATCCTCAAAAAAGTTTTAGATCTTGGATAAATTGCATTTAGGTAAACAAGCTTCCTTCTTTAAAGTATAAAATGATACAATTTGGTGATTTAATGCAGCAAAAACTGTGTTTCAATTTCTTACCTACTTCATAGTGACAGATTTAGAGTGCTATGTGTCTATTTTTTGTGAAGCATTGGGCGAGGCATTCTGTATATGCTATTATTGTTCTTATTTCCAACGACTCTGAAAAAGGGTACCACGGGGGACACTGTGTGATGGTGACTGTTACCAGAATGGACCAGCGAGGTTCACCTTGAGGTGTCGCCACTTTACTGGGTACTGTTAGATAATCAAGTGAGTCTCTAAATGCCTCAATTTTTTCATCTTTGAAATAGGAGAAGTTACAGTATAACATCATTGGGGTTTTGTGAAGATTAAATGAAGTAATATATATCAACCATACTTAGAATTATGCCCTGCTCATAATCTCTCAAAATGTTTATTATTATTCCCATTATCGGTGGTAGTGCTATTAGCACTATTTATTTTTATTTTTATTTTTTTTGAGACAGAATCTCGCTTTTGTTGCCCAGGCTAGAGTGAGTGCCGTGGTGTCAGCCTAGCTCACAGCAATCTCAAACTCCTGGGCTCAAGCGATCCTTCTGCCTCAGCCTCCCGAGTAGCTGGGACTACAGGCATGCGCCACCATGCCCAGCTAATTTTTTCTATATATTTTTAGTTGTCTGATTAATTTCTTTCTATTTATAGTAGAGACGGGGTCTTGCTCTTGCTCAGGCTGGTCTCGAACTCCTGAGCTCAAACAATCTGCCCGCCTCGGCCTCCCAGAGTGCTAGGATTACAGGCGTGAGCCACCGCGCCTGGCCTTATTAGCAGTATTTAGAGTCAATCTCATTTTATGTAGAAGAAACTGAGACCTATGGAGGCTAGAGTCCAAGGCCAACAGAGTTATTTAAGTGGTAGACCCTGGCCTAATCCACAGCTACATCTCAGCTCCACCCCAGGCCAAGTTCTTCTAGAGTATATGTCAACTTTCGTTTGCTGGATAAATAACTTGATCTAAGCAAAGGGGAAAAGAGGAGGATTATATAGAAAAGACAGTGATGTCTAATTAAAAAGTAAAACCCATGAAAACTGCCTAAAACTTGACTATAACAAATACTTATGACATCTGAGCCAAGGTAAAAGTCACATTGGTAGCATTATTAGCCTACTGTGCATAACCCTAATCTCTCTCCTGGCTGTCTCTCCCACCTCGATTGTATAAGCAGACATGGTACACAGAAGACACCTACGAGGGCACTGGTTAGGGGTGTGTGGGGGACTACTGAAGATGTGGCACTTCTACAGAAAAGGAGTCATTGACATTTTAAAGAATTATTTCTGAGAGGTTAAGTAGAATATGTACCCTCATATAGTTTACCTCTATGACCCAGTCAGAACAGCGAGTGAAAAAGTGGTACCTAATGACGCTTGAAAATGTACACTTAATTCTCTTATTCTTCCATCAAATCACAGCTACTCTGATTGGGAGGAGAATTGGTAAAGGGGAAGGGGATCCTAGTGCCACTGACAACTTTTCAGTAACGTGCCCATTCAAAGTACCAAACAGGATTGACACTTAGCTCTCTGTTAAAAGCTTTCCAGCTTTGCTACTCACAACAGTGCTTTGCACATCCTACACACTAACTGAAATGGATGACTCATTATTTTCTTTACATGCCATGTTTTCGTATATTTTCAGTTTCTTCTGTCTCGATGTCCTCTTCCTTTACTCTCATTTAAACTACATGCAATCTGTGTTTGCAGACCTTGTTCAAAGATCATATCCTATAGGACATTCTAACTGATCCTTTAGTTGTATAATCATTTGAATCTTTACAATAGTTTTAACTCAATCTCTTCTGTGACTTGTATCACTATCCACGTAAATATCTATGTATTGGTGTTTATATCATTCATCATTTCATCTTTTCAACCTCTTCAGCTTTGCATACCCATTGCTTAAAGAATATATATTAAATGAAAAAAGCTATGATAGTTTTAGATATTGAGTGCCTTAGATAAGACAAAAGTCTTCAAATTGCATGTAATCTTCAGCAGAGAACAAAGAGAAAACTATAAAGGGGTGGAGATGCTGACTGAGGGCAATGACACGGTGTTCATGTGAGGAGTTCATTCTAGTAGAGGAAAATACAACAGGTAGGAAACCACACCATGAAGAGATCTAAGTTTGTACCTCATTGGAAAAAGTTTGCTGTGTTCCACAAGTGATTTTGGAGCACTGATTTTTTTTGTCTGTGACATAAAATTTATTAATAGTAAGTGTGGATTTTCTCATTTTTAATAACTATTTTTCATATTAAGGTTAGTGTCTGAAATATGAGGGAAATTATTCTCAATCTACCTACATATTCAAGAGACATCTCTTATTTCCCTCTCCTATCACACTGTTATGGTTTTGATTTTATTTTTGACTTTTTGTTCTTTAATACTTACCATCTGAAATAATGTTTCAGCCTCTAGATTCTAAAATATAAACTGCACGAATAAAGAAATCTTATCAGCTTTGTTTCTAAATTTGTCCTTAGTTTTTAAATTAGTGTTATGCCTTGCTCATAAGCACTCAGAATATTTATTATCATTATTCTTAGTACCATTATTTATTACAAATCAAATCTTACACAGAAGAAACTGAGGTGGTCTCTAAATTAATTCTCAATTTCTAAATTAGTGTTTGGCACACAGGAGGCATTCAATATAAACTTATTCAATGACTAAATCGATTTTTAGGTTGGGTTTAAAGCCATAGCAGAATGGCATTCTCAAAAAGATTGTCTTCTCTAATACAAGAGATACATAAATACGTCTTTTGATTCTGTGAGTGTCTTCAAAGTTCTCAATCTGTTGTTAAGTGCATGTAAATAGTCAATGCTGCTTTGTGAACAAATACAGGACGAATTGATAGCAAGTCTTCTCCAGAGACAAAAATAGCTTACGCAAGCATTCACGGACAATTGTTTTCAAGGAAGCTCACTCGACAATGGAGCGGGTAATTCTGCTCAGTTTCAATAGCTGTAAAAACGTGTCATGAGTATTAATTCACTATTTACAGAATAATGAAATATACCTACCTAACAAGCTGTCATCATTGCAGGTGCCATTAATCAAATATTTTCCTTCTGGGCACACACAGGTGGCCCCAGAAGGATTCAGCAAGCAGAGGAATTCACATGCTAAATCCAAGCACGGATTGGGTACTGATTAAAACAAAACGAAAGAAGACAAAGAAATGCATAAGTATGGATACAATAGGTTTCAAAAACATAAAAACCAGTAAAGTGAAATGATTAATTAGCAATGTTGAAAAGAAATCACATCAAATTTCTACTGGGAGTATCTCATTTCAATGTTAAAGTTCTCCTCTATAGGTGAAGAGAAGTTACTATACAACGTCTATCATTAATAGGAAGTTTGTCCTAATCATAGTTTTTAAAAAGGAGAAATTGTTCTAATCTATATTTGTCACTCTTCCTTGTGATTAATTGCTTTTGGCAAAAGACTTCGTCTTAGAACCCAAAGTACAGTTTGGGGCTGTGTTTAAAAGTAAAGCCACCTGAAGTCTTCAGGGATCTAACTCTCATTTTAGATCTTCATAGGACTGTTCAAACAGTAGGAAACAGCTTCCCTCTAGTATTTACAACGGCTTAACATCCATATGTAGTTGTCAGTGCGAAGCATAAACAAACAGAAGGTACGACTTTTTCCCCCCTAAAAATCATATTTAAAATGATTTCCTATCCATCAGGGAGGAATTTGTGTGCATGTGTAAATGTGTGCCGTATTTATTTTTGTCTAAATTTCTATCTAATCAGCATCACTTTCAGTCATAGCTGATTTATGCCCTTTCCTAGAGATTATGTCACTAGAATGAAAAAGAAATGGCACCTAGATAGCTGAACTGATAACTATGAAAGTGGCTTTCTTTTTTTAAGAACCACTACTTAAAAGTCTGTTATATTCAAGGCAGGGTTTTGTTTATTCATTTTATATGAATGTGGCAATATTTGACTATGAATACGAATCAAATAGAGCTAAAGGATGAGAGGAAGTGTCCTCATACCAACCTGGGAGCCTTATATGCCAGATCATTGGTAAAGAAGAGCAAGACTTTGGATAGAATTTCTGTTAGTTTTGGGGGACTATATTTTATTTTAATGTTTCCAAAACTGATTAGAATAAATATCAGTTGTTATCTTTCTAGATAATTTCAGCAAACAAGGTAAAATCCCTTTTTAGTTGTCGTAAATAATTACAAATAAATCTTAAACATTTTCTCGAAGAGTGAACTGATACATAAAGACAGATTGTTAGAATTTCAGCCACGTTGGTTTTTTTTTCACTTTGTTCCTCAATGTTTTTGATGGTCGTATTTGAAACATATGTCTCAAGATAATTAACTTAATGATTTACCCACTCTTTTCTAGGAGGGAGAGTAACAATAATAAGTCATAAACATAAATCAGAAAAAATATAATTCTTGGGAAGAGTTCTCCTTGGATATATTTAAGGATGGAATGGTAATGGTACAATAGTGACTTGTTTATCAGTAACAAGAGTCAAAATGGCTAACAGGGAACTTCCTTATTTGCATGATTCATCTATAGATTCACAAATTTTTATTAAGAATTTTAGAAAAACAGACAATTTTTATAACAAAGTCAATTTTAATTAAAAGTAAACAAGGCCAAACACTGAAAATCGTAATACCTTTTATGTCAAAGATGGAAACTTTTGCATTGTCTGTAACTTGACTTTGGTAATTTGAAAAGTCTGTTGATGTCAAAATTAAAGTTACTTAACTTACTAGGGTTAAGAAATCAAATAAATAGTTAAAAATCTATTCTTTTGAGAGATATAAAAATTTCACCAAATATAGACAATTTTATAAAATATACTTACAGCCTAGTTGTTTATAGCGATGAGATATCAAAACACCTTTTGTTTTATCAACATCTAATGCTAGGTACTCTACTGAACCCTGGCCAAATTTTTGTACTCGAAAAACACCATTTTTAGGTCCTGCTCCATATATATAATCTTCAAAAATATCAATTCTGTGTGGATGTAACAAACCTAGAATTTTAAAAAGGTGGTGTTATTAAAGTTGTAATGTACATAATCAGACTTCAAAAAACTAAGTTTATCCAAGATCATATGGAAAATCATATTACTGTTCTTTACAAATAAATTTTCAGAATTGGAATAGTTTTAGTATTAGCTGTGAAGTTGTTAGAATTAATTTCTTGGCAGTAGGGATATGCGAGATACTAAACATGTCACTCAGGGCATAAAATAATTTCTATCATCACTTTAATCATCTTCAGCATCACAAAACATTTGCTGGGGGTTTACTATTTGCAGAGTAAGCTTTGCTATACAACTGACAAACAAAAGAAAACCCTATGAACAGAAAAACCTTATCTTAAACTCAAAAACAGGAAGTTCACAAAACTCAATTTACATTCTGGTTCAGGTCAATTATCAAATTAGATCGCATGAATGACTGATTTATGAAACAATTATGAGTTGTCTTTAAAGAGTAAAGTGAAAAATAATATTTAACATTATTGTTAGTTTTAGAAATGAGATTAAAAAAATAAACTGGTAAATGACAATCATTCATATGACTAGTTTGGCAAAAAATAATGGTGACCATCATTTTTCACATTTTGTGACTATTATTTTAAGAGATCTTATCAAAAGAAGAATTATTTGAACTTTTGAAGAAAAAGTTCAATAAAGCAAAATGGCATTTATATTTTACTAATTATCTCGACATCGTAAAATATAAAATGCTTTTTATGTTTTTCTCCAATGTTTTGTGAAAGAGTAAAAAGTACACTTAAGATGAAACAGATTATCTTTATTATAATCAATTGCAGGAATGTGGACATTTTTCCCATCTAGGGTCATTCATACAAAAAACACACTTTTGGCAGAGGCACAATAAAAATTAAATTTAATTACTTTTCTTTCTTTATATTAAAAATATAAAATATTTTTAATTATATTCTTTCTTTAACAAAAACAGGAAGCAAAGATATATCCAGTAAATATAATATGCAAATATAAAAACACCAAGTGCATATTATGAATAATTTGTGGTAAAAACATTTGTGGGAAGGAGTTGGAATAGAAGAAGGAAAATGAAACAGAAAGGGAAGAAATTGGATTCAGCAGAAAGAAATGAGACAGCCAGAGAAGGAAAGTGTGGGGCGCAGTAGGAAGCGAGAAAATGAGAGAGTAGAAAATAAAAGGCAGGAAGAGAGGTGGCCACAAAAGAGGGTGGGGCAACAGAAGAGCATGAGTAGATGCTGCAGTCACTGATGGTGGAATTAAATCAGCATTTTTCACACACTGCTTTTCACGTGGATAAAGGAATGCTTCAGTAGTAACAATTGTTACTATGAAGACTGCATAGGATAACTCATTTCCTGCTTGCTATCATTGCAATTTGAAAAAAAAGTTAGCGTTCACAGGTGCTAATCTTGACTATTTAAAGTTTCCTGCTCATAATGGAATAGGCACAGAAGCAACAGAATGAAATTATTTTGTGAATCTGAGCAGCAATGGCCCACGTGTGTCCAAGTGAAGAAGCTCTTCTGCCCTGGCCTCTTTGTTATTGTCGTAGGAATAACAATTTTAATTATTAGTAAGAGCTGTACGTTGAAAAGAGAAAGAACTTAAGGAAAGCTTCCATAGTTATATTTATGTACTGTTATTTAAAATTCTCAATAACAACTAAAAACAAAAACAAAAGCACTTCACAAACCTTGTTTGCTGCTGACAGAGACTACTGAATCAGAGCCATCATACAGAACACTGCCAATAATAGAGAGCTCAAAGTCAGCCCAGTATATGCGTTCACTAAAATAATCCACAGCCAGACCTACAAAATCAACACATACAAATAACAGAAAAGGTTTAAAATTATTAAAAATTATGTTTTTGCTTCTTGACATATAATTATGGTTGATATTTTACTTCAAGCATCACAGAAGTTTCCTAGTGTACATCACGGTACTGTAGAAATAGGAAAAATTGAAATAACTCAATCCTTATCTCAAATACATGTGCTCAGATTACACAGCATTTACTTAACAAACTATAGTAAAAATCTTAGTTCACATAGGAAAAGCTACCTTAAATATCCTTTCTAACCATACTTACTGGCTTCTTAAATATGGCTATTCTCTAACAGACTTTACCATGATATCTCTAATTTTTGTCTATACAGAATAAATTCATTATTTAAATCACTTATCCAACCATTATTAAAAAGATTTGGTGTAATTAATTGTATTTTGAATCCCGTAATGAAGGTATACTTCTCAGAACATAAAAGGCTCACGGACTTTAAACATAAGACATTTTAATCCATTTGGAATTGACCTACAGTGTTGTTGAATACCTGGGTGCATGCTGAAGTTTAATGTGACTAAAGATTGTTCTTTATAGTAGAGAACAATGAATAGAAAAGTCCTCAATTAAAGTTCTAGTGGTACTTAAATTAATTTTCTCTGAGACCACTTGTCTTCATTTTCATTGTAGGTATATGTCAGTAAATAATAATAGACTACAAGAGTATGTGGTCAAAAAAACGCTTTTCTATTTATTTAATTTTTTGATTCCATACATGTGATAGGAGTCCAGCAAGTATTTTCCTGCAAAAATATCCTCAACACATAGAATATCTTAGAAAGTAAACTTCCTTCAATATGGAAGAGTAAGATCTATGACACATAAATTCTATGATAAATCTTCATGACTGTAGATTAATTTTTGTGACATAGTCTTTAGATATGACATATTATATAATTTGAACGTACATTGCAATTAAATACCTTTGGCAGCTGAAGAACTTTCCCAAACATAATATTCTATAAACAACTTAGGAATTGGTGAATGGCAAGGCAACTGAATGAAAGGTACTTTTGAGTTTGTGCTAAACTTATATTCCTGTGTAGATGGAACAAGGCTTAATAATCCATTAAAAATGAAAAAAAATCCATGGTGAAAATTATTTGCAAACAATTCTTCAGGTAAGTATGTACATCTAGCCCAAATGCGATCAAACTAAATATAAGTATTGTTGCTGAAGTAAGTCTAGAGATGTACTATGCCCAACCAGCCTCTGAGAAATGATAACAATTAAAGCAAGTGGTCCGTGCTTTACTAGTTTCTGCTGAATAATTAGTTTTATATTTGGAGTCATGTTAGGAGTTAGGTTCTTACATTTCTATGTATAATTATGAGTAACATGAACCATAAAAAGATCCAATTTCCTGCTGCTGTCATTATAGTTCAAAACAATTGTCTAAGAAGGGTTGATAATACTTTTCTTCTCCTCTACCCATGTGCTATAATAATGAAGTAAATAAAACAAAAACCTGTCCCCAATAAAATTGGTTTTAAATTTAAAAATATTAAATTTGGTAATCACAAAAAATATGAATACAATAAATGTGTAATCCAATTTAATTAACAATATTGCTTTTCAGATTGAGCAACAATAGAAAATTCTCCAAGGTATCACATATTGCATTATTGGTCCACACTTCTCTAAGACATACCCATCTTTATCAGCTCTGGCCACATACTGTACTATTGGATGGAATTATATCTAGATAAAAATTATATAACAAAGTTTATAGATGAGTGGGATTTATATTCCAAAAAATCCACAAATCGATGATTTTGATTTTTTCTTAAGCCCTTTAATAAAAGAGATAGTCTTTTAAATTAAAAAGTTAATAAAGGAATCAACTGACTTTTCCTGTTATAGAGATGAGAGTCAAGTTTATATGAAAGAACAAGTTCACGTCTATCTTTAAAATAGCACATCTCCTTTTTGTCTTTAATAAAGAACCAATAATAAAATGAAAAAAAATCAATTCTCAAGAAACTCATTCTTAACTGGGAAAGACAAATATTTGGAACTGAGCCAGCAAAAGTAGAGAAAATTTAAAACAAAATGCCATACTTGTTTTAATCAAGTATAATGGAAGCACAATTTGAAGGTTTATAAAAGATAAAGACACAGGCTTACTAAGTTTAAGTGACACATGATAATGGCACTGAGCATGTAGTCATATCCATAACATCTCTCATGATACCAAGAGTATGATTACATCTTAGGATTTTTAAATCTCAGTGTTGAACTCTAAAATTTTCGGAGATCCACTAGTTCCCCTATTTCTATTATAGTCTAAAAAAAATTAAAAGAAAATGGAGAAAACAAAATCTTATGAGAAATGGCCATAGAACCCATGTGATATTTAAGAGGAAGGATTTGGAGAGAGCAACAAATTAAAATCACTATTTTTTCAGAAATAGAAAAAAAGATTATATACATTCTGTTTTCAAGGAAAGCCAAGCTCTGTAAGGTAGTTATAACCAGCAAGTGTACAAGACCATATTCTTGATTTAAGAGGTGATACAAGAAGGAGCTGAAAACCTGAAGATATTTACCACTATATCAAATTTATTTTTTAAAATCGTTAAAAGTATTTTTGAGATAAGTTGCCTACTTAAAGTCTTACATTCCAAACTACATTAAAGTGATTTTTCCAAACACACACACTTATTTTTCATACACATGCACATACATGTACATATTTATGACATTAAAGTAAATGTATCACGTTAACATCAAATAGTCCTAAAATTTCTATCCATTTTATCTAGTTAGAGACCTTTGTTGGCCAAGAACAAAGAATTTTTCTTAATGAATCAAACAATTTTGACTTGTCCAGGGCCATTGTGTAGTTCTTTTCTTAGAAACTGCTGCAATTTGGGGGAGATAGCAGGCAACATAAATAAGCTTCTAAATATCCAAGAATAGGGTATTTAAATCAAGCTCATGTAATCCTACATATCCTCCTACTGGAAAGTATTCTTATCTGACACAGCATTTATTAACCCAACACATACCCATGGGGCACCTCCTTTGTACCACACACTGCCAGGTACCAGGCACAGAGCAAAGAACAAAAGAGATCATGTTTCTGCTCTCATGGAACATGTTACTCATCCAACACAAAACTGATTGAAATAGAAGGCAGATTATGCTTCTTGTGTTTAATATAGTGTATATTTTTTTTTTTTTTTTTGACAGAGTCTCACTGTGTTGCCCTGGCTAGAGTGCCGTGGCGTTATCTTAGCTCACAGCAACCTCAAACTCCTGGGCTCAAGCGATCCTCCTGCCTCAGCCTCCCGAGTAGCTGGGACTACAGGTATGTGCCACCATTCCTGGCTAGTTTTTTCTGTATATTTTTAGTTGTCCAATTAATTTCTTTCTATTTTTAGTAGAGATGGGGTCTCGCTCTTGCTCAGGCTGGTTTCGAACTCCTGAGCTCAAACAATCCACCCATCTCGACCTCCCAGAGAGCTAGGATTACAGGCGTGAGCCACCGCGCCCGGCCTAGTGTATATTTTCTAAGTGTGCCATTTTCAGACTTATCGTATTCGAATCACTCCTTTAATCAAAACTATACAATGGCTCAATATTGGCTAAAAAATCATGTCTAAACACTTTGGCGTTTAAGGTCTTCTATTCTCAGCACATGTTACGTCACCCAACCTGTCCCCTTCTAGGTGCACTATGACACATGACATCAGCAGATCATGCCATATGTTCTACACTGAAGCCCCAGGCTCAGGACATTATTTAATTTAACATATACTGCATTATTTTGTGCTACTATTATCCCTTGGTTTGCTAATGATAAAACTGAAGTTTGAAGATAATAAGTTCATTTCTGAGATCTCACAGTTAATAAATGATCCTTGGGATTTGAAATGAAGTGTATCTGACTCCAAAGTCAGACCTACAAAATCTGATTCCTTTATAAAAATTTCCTCATGATGAAATTATCTGCCCACGTTTCAAATGCCTATCCATCCTTCAAGCACTTATTGAAGTGACATCTTTCACATAGTTTTTCTGTATTGGAGATAATCTTTCCACCTCTGACTCTGATGATATTATAAAACATGAACAATTCTCGCATTTTGCAAAAACTGTACTTACTCCTGTGCATGACTCATTTTATTTTCTTTCCTAAATGTGCATTTTGTGAGAAAAGTGACTGTGCCATGTTTATCACTAAGTAACCTGTAGTATTGTTGACCAGCATGGTTAACACATGGAAGATATTAGATATGTGCATCTTTGCTAAGCCCATTGTCAGAGATGCTGTGATACCTGCCCAGATCTAGCTAGGCATGAGTACTCATCCCCAACAGGTGCATTAGCAGCTGAACGCTTACAGGTGCCCTCCTCCAAAGAATTGTACTCAGCTGATTGGAGCAGCTTTGTTTGGGATTTTACAGCCCGAAGGCCAATCAATAACTGAAGGGTCATGTAAAAAGCTGACCCCCTTGCCTGCATGAGGTTTATGCTCCAAAGCACAACCCCAGTGGCTCAAGCCAAGGCTAGACTTGACCTGAGATACAGTTTACTGGACTCTTTCTTCTTTCCCCTTCTCTTTCCATCTTTTACAAGTTTCTCCTGAATAACACTTCCTTCCTAAATAGCCTGTACAAGAATCCCTGCCTTAGGCACCCCTCTCAGCATCCTCCTACAGGCAATTCTACAAACTGCTTCCAGAGTCATTCTTTAAAATAAAAACATGTCGTATAAACACTATGATTTTGTAAAATGTTAACAGAAAGCTTTTTAGTAATTTTGCAACTTTTCTGCAAGTCTAAAATTAGTCAACAATGAAAAAGTTAAAAAGAGAAATGCAAAGCACTGTTTCAACAGATCCTGGAACTTCAATGTCCTTCAATAGCTCCCCTTAAAGCTAGACTAGAATCCAGTCTTTACCAATGCATTCCAGGCTCCTGGTCACCTTGCCACCCTCATAAATTGCATTCTCCTCACTTGCTTATATGCTTCTAGGTATACTGACCTTCTTGTTGTTTTGGTAAATGCTAACCTCATTCCTAACTCAGAATTTACTATTCTTTATGTCCTCATATATTCACATAGCTTGCTAGCTCTCTTTGTTCAGGTCTCTCCATATCACCTTTCTAGAGATGATTTCTCTGGTAATTATAACTAAATCAGTACCCCCAGTAACAGCTCATCCCTTACCATGTGTTTTCTTTTCTATGTAGCACTTATAACTACCTGACATTATATATAAACACATATTCTATCCTCTACATGAAGATAAGTTTCATGAGGGTTGGAACTTGCTTCACAAGGATAGGAACTTGTTTCTTGAGCATTTGGAACAATTTATGGCATGTGACGGGTACTCAATCAGTATTCGTTAAATCACAGAATGGAGATACCCTTATGCAAACAGATTATATCCCAAATACTGCTTCTTCCCATAAAGAGTAAGAACAGTTTAGATGAATTAAAAGGCATAAGGCACCTTACAAGTTAATGAGCATATTATGTGCCAAATATAAATAAATTTTAAATCACAAAAGATATTACAATGCACAATTATTACATAATGTGTTATTGATGATGCATTTTGTCTTTTTGATGGCAATGTAGTGGGTGGGGTAGGTGGCACAGAATTCCTGATACTCCTGTAGTCTTAAAATATTTTATCGAAGAAGTAGTGCTAAAGTTAGACCTTACAAGATGGGAAAGATTCAGATTTGTAGACAAAAAATTGGAAGGGCATACTAGTGGGGGAGCTGGGAGAAAAATGCCATGAGAGAAAGAACGTGGAGGCAGAAGAGACCTGAGCTCCTTAACAGCCCTGAAAGTAGAGATCGTTTGGAGGAGTAGCTTCGATAACACGTTTGGGGGAGATTAAGGTCAGAATGAAAGGAGCTCTTAAGGAAAAAGCAAGGAATCATCAAATCTTTCACACAAATTAACTATATTTAGCCACTTCTTCATCCATTTGATCTCTCATCCTCAAGAAATGTTACCAAATATCCTGACATCATTAACATATATCTTTTAAAATACCCTAAAATATGGCTATAAAGTGTCAAAATTTAATGCATGTGAAATCCTACTAGTAGCCTTACAAATCAGTCAATTTTCCAATAACTTTCCCATAATACAACTGGGAGTATAATAAGGACCTGACTTTCAAGTTGGAAAAATAGAACATGAAATGTTAATGAGTTCTATAAAATCATACTATAAATTATTTTATCCACTTGTTTAAATGATTATATTGCCAACAAAACTAGCAGGAATTACTAACACTAATATGCTTAGCATCCTGCTCCGCATTTTAGAGTATCAGAAAGACATCATACCTGTGGGTCTCTGTAAGTTCTTTTGTACTAAAATCCTTCTCAAAGTGCCATCCATGGCTGCTTCCTCTATGTGGGAGTGGTCCCCAATGACAGTCCAGTACATCATCCTGAAGACAGTAGGTCAAGAAGGTTAGCCTGGTGATGATGCTATTGTAACCTGACTCTGGTCCCCAAAGCAGTGGCTTTTCAGACCATGTGCATTAGCATCACCTCTAGAGTCCTATACAAAGTATATTCCTAAACCTAATTTGAAATATACAGAATGTATGCAGTATCCAATATTCAATATCCAATATTCCAATAGAGAGTCTTGGGAATCAACTTTGTCAACAAAGTCTTACCTATACACACTAACATCTGAGAACCTTCGTTTAATAGGACAGACCATAGCTCATTGTTTGTTATCCAAAGTTCAATTTTAAAAAATTCCTTTAAAATCTCAGAAGAAAACTATTTCCATCTCTTGAAACTTTCCTCTTTTTGTAATAGAATAGTTATTTTACTATAGATGCTGCATCAACATGCTTTGTTTGATAAAGAAGTAACTCTTTCCTCATCAAACAAAAATTAGTCATAAATTAGACAGTACTTGTCATAAATTAGAGTTCATAATTCTAGTAACTAAGTAAAAGCTGTCTCTTTTTACTTAGAAGCCAATGCTCCAATTTATGGATGATTAGGAGTTCTATTTAACATTTTCCTATTTCTTTTTGGTCATTACTTGAAGGTTTACATCTCCAAGTAAAAGAAAGGAAATGTTTGTATTACATTGTTAAAATCGGTTTATAGATGTGCCTTCATCTTTTATTATCAAAAATAGCCAAAAACATTAATACTATACATTTAATATGTTTAATATTATGTTTAATATTTTGAAAATTCAATTGTAGATTAAGAACAGGGGTTATGTGTTTATAACATCAGTCTCATTATTGTTCAATACACACATACAAACATACAGAGATACACACATACAAACACACACGTACTGAATGTATAATACAGCAACCTTTCAAGAAAAAAAATATATTTTGTGTCACCATTTGGTGTGAAAAGAACATGATTTTGTATAGGAGGAGAAGTGCAGAGATTTTCAGAAGTCATGTTAATCTACTACACATTGAATACTCATTACAGAAACAAAGGTACAGTGCACAATCTCTAAAAATGTACTCTCATATCAAGAAATACAAATACCAAGCCATTAACTTACCCTCTTTTAGGATTTACGGCAATAGCATAAGGTTCTCCAGCCATATTGGTTAAGAGTCTGGTGCAGTTGGGGCCATTCAGCTGCCCTACATTGATAGAGTACCTCAGACTGGTCCAGTGAGTGGTGTAGTAACTGAACCAGTGCATTCTAGAATGATCAGTCCAATAAATATTTCCAGCAACCCAGTCAACTGCAATGTCCCTGGGCCTTTTAAATTCAGGGCACTAAAAGAAAACAAAATGACATACCACAGTAGTTTTGAAAGTAATTTAGTGCAGTTTTATTTATCTATACATCGAGGTTATGGGGGAATCATAGGAAGATAGGTGTTAATTGTTGCACAGATTCCCAAAAGTATACTTAATATTATTTTTAGTCTTTATAGAAGTAGAACTGTGCAAATCTAAACAATACAGATTATCAGAGTTTTACCTATGACTGTACCTGTTTAACCACCACCATTTGAGGATATTTCCAGAACCACAGGAGGTTCACCTGTGACTCCTCCACTTCAGTATTCTCCTGAGAATAACAATAATTCTGATATCTAACACCATAGATTAGTTTAAACAAATCCATATAAATAGAATCATATTATTCTATTCTGGAGTTCTTTTGTTCAACAACATGTCTGTGCAATGTATCCATATTTTGTATGTGCCAGTCATTAATACTTTTTATGGCTGGATAGTATTTCAATTTATGAATATATTATAATTTTACTATTGTACTAATGATGTCCACTTGGCTTCGTTACAGTTTTAGTCCATTGAAACTAAGGTATGAATATTCTAGTACGTGTTTTTCAGAGTATTCTTTTGAGTATATACCCAGGAGTAGAATCAATGAGTCTTAAGATATACATACACTTGGCTTGAATAGATTCTGCTAGAAAATTTTTCAAAGATTTGTACCAATAGCACCCTTTTCAGCAATGTAAGAAACACATAGTTGCTCTGCATCCTTGCCACACACAATTTGATTTAAAAAATGAAAAAAAATATATTAGTACATATAGACACAGTCAGAGAGATGCTATATTTTAACATCTTTTGAGGAAAGTCACAGTATCTGTCATTTATTTTACATTTGATAGCTTGGATTTGATAGCTTGGGTTTAATATTCAGTTTTATTGAATTGCTGTGAGACAAAGGTAAGAGAGTTCATTGGAACTAGAAAGCAAGGAAAATAACGTATGTTCTATGCCCTTCAATTTACTTGATCACTTTGAGCAGGAACTAGTGTAGTAATTGATTTGACGTGGTCAGGTTTATTGTGCATAACCAAAAATGGGACGGGATTCCCAGCGGTATTGTAGCAAGAATAGAAACAATTATTTGAAGGTGATTACAACTAGACATGTAGTCAATGTGTAAAAGCATCATTAGGGCCTGGCAAACAGTGAAAATATGGGTTGTTAACACATGACAGCGTCTTATGTGGTTTGGTGGTGAACAGACTTTATTAAGCAATGGACTCAGATCAAAAAAGAAGAAACTGAGCATCTTAAAAAGAAAATGGGAACAGGAATTACAAGTCATCGTCTGCTGCGTGATTACTAGGATATCAAAGAAGGGAAATATAGCTTGAACTAAACACAAAACTTATAGACAATTTCTAATGTCCTTTATTATCAATACTTTAACCTATTTTGCTTCAAAACTGAAATTTTGAAATTATATAGTACCCTATTTCTCAACTCCAACAATAAGCATTATTCATATACCAAGTAATATCTCAGAGTTAACTGAATTAAATGTAAAGCACTCTGCAATACAGTGTGCTCTAGAAATGTCACATAAATAATATTCATAGATGGTTAGAATATAAATATTTGTCCTAGCCAAACCCCCCAAAAATCGTTTTCAAATGCTCCAGTATCATTTAAGCTAAGTACATTTTTATTTTCAGTTTGGCATCATTTAAACACAAATACATCACCAAATGGCATGTGCATGTCAGTGTGAATCATAATTTATAAACATGAAAGATAATGGGAAAAACTACTCTTATAAGCTGTTTAGAGCCTGTTGAAGCATATTTATAATTTTCTAACATCAGGAGAACAAATCTTTAGCACAGAAAAAAATATGATGCCTGTTGTCTAACTTGAGAGTAGAAAAATACCTAATTTCCCTTTATCAGATATAAATATATATATATATATACCTGATTTTTTATCCTAATGGTATCTGATATAATATTACATATTTCATGCAAAAATCAACTTTTGTTGAATTTAGGATTTTTAGTTTATTCTATCCATGCTCAAAAAAAAAAAAAAGGCTAATTATCATTCCATTCTATACCTCTAAACCTGGACTGCCAAAAATTAAACAAATTCCTAATGTTCCTAGAGCACTCTGAATTTTTGTTTAGTGATATTTTACTTTTTCAGGTAAATAGACTGGTGAAGATTCTACTAATGGTGAATTCCAGGAAAGTAAAACAAATTTAGGTGACCTTTTAGGGTGAAGAACATGAAATGAAATGAAAAAAATTCTTACTTTTCATGCTAAGCACAAGAGATACTGATGACTTGCAGAGTCATTTAAATATGTACATTTATTCTCTGGCTCCTGGATCAAGGAATCCCTAATGTAATTTCAGTAACAACTAAATTAGTTAGAATACAGGGTAAAGGACAGTCACATGCAATTAATTCAACATAAAGTCATGCTATAAATGACAAGATAATTCTGAGAGAATGATGGCAGAGAGTGAAGATGTTCCTAGGTGTTCATCCTCAGTGACTCACAACACACTAAATATTTATTGATCCTCAACACTAGAGAGAGTATAACAGGACAAAAAGAAAGGAAAAGAAGAAGAGGAGGAAGAAGAGGGGAATTGGAAGGAAGAAAACCATCTCCATCACAATAGGTAGGTGGCAACAGTATTATCCCACTCTCAATTAACCTATAGCCAAACTAGGAAATAACCTTTTGTACTGAGTTCCAAAAAATCTCACTTGATTGCTCACACCTTGACCAGGATTGTGAATAGTACGAGCCATATAAAAGAGACCTACATTGCATGGAGACTGAAAGGCAGAAATTCCTATTGAATTTTGATATTATGATCAGACAATTTATGGAAAGGTACTACAATCAATCTGGTAAATATGAACAGTGGGAAAACACAGGGAAAGTGATTCTGGGAGTGGAAATGGAAACTGACATGGGAAAACAGAATGGGAAAGCTAAGCTTGCCTCCAAAGAGGCTCAAAACAAAACAAAACAAAACGCAACAAACACACACACCAGATTGGAAGGAAGAAGAAAATATAAAACATTCATTTACCTCTTCAACTAGCTCACTAGAAAGATAGGCCAATGAAATAGAGGCACTAATTTAATGTGTCATGTTTAAGAGACTGCAGAAGTATGTGGTTACCCTGACAACAAAATGCATTGCTCAGATTGTTGCACAAAATAGAAGACACATTTGGACTGCTTTGTCTATTCTTTTTCTAATAAGCTCTCTAAATACAGGGCCAAAGTTTTGAGGCCTGAGGCATTCTTATTTGTAGAGATATATGAGTCAAATGAATGGAATTCTTAAATCTTATGGAAAAATGGATGGCTCGATTGTAACATAATTAGAGGTTACTAGTTTAAATGACTTATTCTTTATAGGTGTGGATATTAGGTATCTGTCACATTCAGCTTCTGTAAGCTAAAGATATAAGTCACTGGAGACATTTGTTTTAAAACAGGAAGGAGGAAAAACCTATGAAGGGGGGGAGTTAAAGTATTTGAGCCTTGAAAATACTGCTTTCTTTTTTAATAAAATTCTTATACTTAGCAATATTATACTTAGCAATATAAATTAAGAAAATCTAGTTAACACAAGGATAGACTGAAGTGATGTCACATATTTTGTTTGAGATTTTTTTCATCTTGATGTACGTCTCAGAATAGAAATTTTGAGTCACTTTGTTAGGTAGATAGCAGGGATTCCGGGTCTCTTAGGGATGAAAGTGGGTACTGTTGTGATTCACCGCCCCACCCCCACCACCAAATGGGCTTTCAGAGAGGGCTCGTGGAATATATGCATGTGCAATAAGACTCAAGTCATGCAGCTCCCAACTGTCCAATCAAAGTGGTTCCATGGTGATGTCTGAACCACGAGGGAGATCCCAATCCAGGCACTATAAAAGAAGACATAGACCATAACCAGTCCCTTTTTCGTGTCCTTCCTTTTGCTCTCCGTTTGCTGAGACAATGGATCTGGTCATCATCTGTGGCGTATATATCACACTTTGTAAGTCTATTATCTTGCTCTTGCCCTATAATCCTATCTTTCTCTCCTCAATAAACCTTATTTTCATGCTTGTCTAACTTTGGCATGTCTCGTCATTCTTTGATCATAGGCATGCCAAGAACATACATTTCAGACTAAAACCTGACAACTTTATTAAAGTTAGTTATCATCTAATGTAATTTTATTAAGACAAAAATGTAAAACCACTCTCAAGAAATTTTGAGGTGAGAGACCTATATAGGGAGAACTACAAAACACTGAGAAAAGAAATTGTAGAGGATGTACACACATGGAAAGCCCTACCATGCTCATGGATTGGCAGAATCAATATTGTTAAAATGTCCATACTACCTAAAGTGATCTACAGAATTAATGCAATGCCTATCAAAATATCAACATTATTCTTTGCATATCAAGAAAAATAATTCTATGCTTCACATGAAACCAGGGAATATCTCGTATAGCCAAAGTGATTTTAGCAAAAGGAACAAATTGGGAGGCATCAGTCTACCAGACTTCAAGCTTTACTATAAGTCTATAGGAACCAAAACAGTATGGTACTGGCACAATAACAGAGATATAGCCTTTTGGAACAGGACTGAGAACCCAGATATAAAACGATCTTCATATAGTCATCTAATCTTTGACAAAGCAGACAAAAATATATACTGGGGAAAAGAATCTCTTGTCAATAAATAGCGCTGAGAAAACTGGATAACCACATGCAGAAGATCGAAACTGGATCCACACTTCCCACCTCTCACAAAAATCAACTCATAATATATAACAGACTTAAACTTAAGGCATGAAACCTTAGGAATTCTAGAAGAAAAAGTTAGGAAAACTCTTATAGACATCAGCCTAGGCAAAGAATTTATGAAAAGGACCCCAAAAGCAATCACAGCAGCAACGAAAATAAATAAATGGGACCTCATCAAATTAAAAAGCTTCTGAACA